CGGCGGAGGGGCTGGCAGGTGGTGCTGGTGGAAAAGGTGCTTCTTTTTCCTCTCGCCTTTTGCTTTCGGAGGTCGAGCTTTCCCTTTGCAGTCACCTGTTTCAAGAAAATGGGCAATATTTAGCTTCATGGGCCAAGCATTCTGGGCATTTAGTATTTTTTCTCCTCTCGTCAAAAAGCTCCATTGCTGGGCTAACATTTTATGGCGTTATTCTACCTTTCAAACAGGAAGGCTGAAAGCTGCAGGCACCCACAGCTGTACTTCCGCACTGACTCTAGAGAAGGTCACTTTGGAAAGAAAAGCCCTGTGTCATTTCTATGGACTATTTAATTCTTGACTGGAGCAAAAAGGCTGCCAAAGGGAATGTTCCCTGGAGGGAAAATGCCTAACACCTAAGGAACTGGACAGCGTGCCAAAAAAGCTGTTATCTATTACATTAGCCTTGATTCTGTATTTCACATTTTCTGTATCAACAGTCTGCAAAGTGGGGTGCACAAAACCATCCACTGAGGTGCAGGAAGAAAATATTTTCATGCCATTAATAAAAGAAAATATATGTTTAAGACAGCGTTAATTTTATCCTTCTTCCAACTTCTGTTTTTCTGCATTTTTATAATGGATATATTAGCACACTAATACACATACAGATTTTACAATATGCATGTATCAGAAGATGTGCTCAGAAGTTTTTTCTGGTAAGGGGGCACAATCAAAAAAGGTTGGATACGATTGCTCTGTATCAGTAGTTGGCCCTGACCTCTGGACCATCCCGATTTAGCACCCCCTCTATTTGCAAGCGTAGCTCTTATCGGAGCATCAACACGCCAGGAAACAAAGAATTGGGTAAAGATGCCTGAATCATTATTACCAGAAGGTTTCTACCCTAAGGTCTTTTCAAAAAGGTGCCTTCAAAGCATGAATCACGTAGAGCATCAGACTAAGCCCATTACGGACCCCACCGGGTGCCGAGACACCCTTCCCTAATGCTGGCCCCGTCTGTCCTCATTTCGGCAAGCTCGTTGTCATTGTGTGACCTGCAGAGTGCTGCGGGTCTCTCACGGCTGGGACAACAAACACGCTTCCTGCACAGGCAGACGTCTCACTATTTTTACCAGAGGCAGTAATAACCCCCCACAGAAGTCTCTTCCACCACTCTTCCCACTGTAATTCTGTCAGAGGATCCACACCCTCTGATTTTACAGCAGTAATTAAAATTCCTACTGGCCACCGAGAGAAGCATCTCTACGTTCGGACAGGAGATGCCTCCGCAACTTGCCTTATTCTATGTAAAATGATGTATATTCCCTTTGTCTGGGTCTTCCTTCGCTTCGTGAATGAAGTTATCAGCTCACTCAGAGGGAAGTAAATAATAGATGCTCCACGGACAGATGCCAGCCCTCAATTTATTTCATAAGAGATTGGTTTTCACCTGCAGATGCTGTGGCTAGATGGCTCTGCTGCAGAAGGTCATTTTTGTGCTAAGAGGATGGGGAGGGGGCTGATGACAAAGAAAGGCAGAGAAAGACCATTCACCCTAATAATGATGTTTCACCCATCCCAGCCTACTCAGACTCCTCGACCAAAGCTGACCGGCCAAACCGAGTGAAGAGGAAATCAGATAAACCCTCCCACAATAACACGGTATCTCCAGGATGAAGGTTTGAAAAGAGAAGGCAAATAATCCCACGATAAGATAAAGTGCTAAAGTCCCTGTTGAAATCTTCGAGGGCATACCTCAAGCTCGGTATTTCCCAGATGTCTGGTCTGATGACTTTATTTACACTAATTTATAAAAATGGGAACAGGTCCAGCCCAAACAGTTATTGTTGTACTTGTGTAGGCAGTCCCTCGGATAAACTGGTTTGTTCCATCACAGAGAAAGGAATATTGAATTTCCTTAGAGAAACAAACATATTGAATGAAAGGCAAATTGGATTTTTCCCCAGTTGCACAAAACCAGATCATATTTACTCTCTATGCACTCAGAGAATTCTCTGCCCAACAACAAAACAAATGCCATTCACCAGCTTTATTGACTTCTAAATGGGTAATTTGACAGCAGCTGGCATGCAGAACGTTGGTTAAAAGTTTTTGCGCTAAGATGGAACGAAGTAGTTTGCAAGCGAATCTATGAAATCAGAAGCCAGGAAAAAGGGAGGTGAAATTCAAAGTCCCCGTCTGGCTCTCAGGAAGGCTTCTAGAAAGGAAAAGGATCTTTATACCCAAATCAATACGGTGGGTTCGCAGAGGAACAGCTCCGAGCTGTCCTGACGTTGAAGAAGAAAGGTAAATGTGACAGAGCTAGTACACCTGGAAAAGAGTGGTCCCACTGTGGTTTTTCATGGTGAGAAGACTGGTTTGTCTAGAGATAATTCAAAATACTATCCGGAGTTGCAGGTACACCGTAACCTTTGAGGGGAAGGGGTGCTGGTGGGGAGATCCAGCTGCTAGACCGGTATCTCCTGGGCAAAGACAACTGGAAATGGAATTCAGCGTCAGTAATTTAATCACAACTTTAGTTTAATAATCTGTACTGTCAACAGCTCAAAAAGAGACCGTGAATTAATCTATCAGAAGCTCAAGCACGAAGAGGGAAGTAAACATGGGAGAGAGCAGGAGAGTTTTCCCTGCAACAGAGCACTGCATCCTCGAGTTTTCAGTTCTGGTTTCCCGGCACCTTGATCAGGATTAGTTCATGTAATCGTGCACCTCATTTACAATCAAAGCACTCAAGAGGGTACGTGGGAACTGCATTAAATGAAACGTGGTGGAAAATAACACACAAACGTTATGCGGTTAAGCACCACGTTGCTTTTTCTCACATTATTAAAAAAAAAAACCAAACAAAAAAAAAAAAAAAAGAAAGAATCTGTAAGATCTGTGCTTTGTAGCCCAAGTCCCCAGGACTCTGCCCAGCACAGCTCGGCAGGTAACACCTGCTGACTCTTCAGATGTGTTTATGCTGCTCAGCACACCCAGAGAAGAGCAAAGCTTAAAGACTCCTTCTTATATCAAGTCCCAAGGCGACTTGCTAAGAATTCTAAATACATTAATAGCAACATAATAAATTATGAATACAAAGCTGAGTCATAAAAACCAAAAAGAAAACACCTTGAGGTATCTGGGTCAGAAATCCTGAAAACCTCACGTTATTAATACTCAGCTAGTCCCCGTAACCAACACGAAGCACAAGACCTACTTTGAAATCTCATTCTTCCTCCTTCTCAAGGTCATAGTTTTTCAGTGTAAGTAGAAAATGAAGCCAAATTAAAACCAGAGGAATAGAAAAACGAAGTGAAAGCAGGGGCTAAACTGCCAGGAGCAGGGCCATCCAAACAGCTGCTGTTTTCTTTTTCAAGATCAAACTGTAAGACACTTGTGAGAGGCAATGCAGACAGGAGGATGTAGAAAACTAGAGAACTTGGTATTTAATTGCTGTATTGCATTAAGATAGTGGTATATTTGCTACCAGCCACACCGAGCACCAGACCCCTCAGAAACTCCAAAGCAAATGAATAGGCCAGTTCCAGTGACTGCAGCAGTGCTGAAAATAAGTTTTTCCCTCCTGTGCTTCCACCTAAAGAGCTCTTAACATGTAGCGTGAGCATGTGATGTGGAACCTGTTCAGCTAGAACAGTCTTTATCGTCCCTCTGCCGTTCTAAGGATCTCAGATCTGTCCTTGCCACTTACCGCTCGTCTCCAAAGGGGTATCAGCATTTTGGGGCCATTTACTACAAGCATCTACCGTTAAACCTGTGCAAGAGCTAAGAGCCTGGAATTTCGGACACTGCCAACACTTTCAAACCTCGGGCAACAGAAAGGAACTGTCTACAGGCTGCTCCTGCTCTGTGCAACAATGATTTGCAAAGTCCTTAGACATAAGGAAAAGAGAAAATACACTGCCTAGCTAAGAGACTCTGGAACTGAGCAAAGACCTCATTTCTTTTCCCACAGCTTCCACAGATTTCCTTTAAGACCATGAATTCAGAGTCTCTACGAAATGGGGAGGAATAGAGGCAAAGGGGAAAGATTAATTGCACAGGGCGGTGCACAAATCATTCCTTTTCAGAGTAGGACGCAAAATATATTTATCTGTTTCTCTACAAAATATTTAAAAATATTCCTCCCCTAATATATATATTTTCACAAACCTGTAATAGTTTGGGCAGAATTTTCAAGGCCTGCCAAGAAAGCTATTTGTACTGAATCCTTAAAGAGAGGGGAAAAAAATCAATTGCTGCTGTAAATGATGGTGTATTTCAGCGAGCCCAGATTTAATATTGGGAAAGACTCCACTGATATTTCAACAGAAAGAAACAACAGCAGACAAGTTATTTACAAATGCGTTTTAGAGAGATAGCCTGCCCCAATCCTTCCCCGAAGCGATCTGCCATCAGTGAGCAGGGCCCTCACCTTCTCCCTCAAGCACTTTGCTCCTCTCCTCTTCCTCTAGATCCGGCCCCCTTTTCAGCTCTTCTTTTACTTTCACATCTTCCAAGGCAGTTTCGACAGCCATGACGTCCCCGAGAGACTTCTGATCCTCCGTTTTATGTCTTCTGGGTTGACTTCTTTTTCTTTGAGACCTAGAAGTACAGAAGTGTGATTGGACACAAAAGAACAGCCTCCAATATAGAAAACTATCACCGACTTACAAAGCTGAATACGAAACAAAAGGATCCTCTTTGGAGAGAAAACACAAGGTAGCTAACGAGAGCTACAGGGCAGAACAGATATCTGAAAGGAAACAGATGAACCTTGCGTAACACAACATTTAAGATCCATTCACAGCAGCTGCTAATCGTCCGGGTTTCTTGAAGAGCTTTTCCCCACCATTACTACTCTAAGCTCATGAGTTAAAAATCATTGTAATTGTATTCCCAATCTATTTTGCTTCCCTTTCAAAACACAGATGAAAACACGTTATATATCTTTCTTTCATTTCTCTGCCTCCATTCCATTGCTTCTTTTCGTTCTGTACGTGCTTCCCTTCGGCAAACTGCCGAGAGGCTGCAAAGCATCATCTTCCAGCTCCAAAACGTCACCCGGCGCTGCCAGATTCTAACTCACCCTGTACCGAATGCTCACGGCACAATCGATAGGCACCCTGGGATTTTTCACTAGTAGAATTCACAGGGTCCACAAAGTAGCGCAAAAAAAGCAAATATTAGTATGATCAGGCTCGTACGAACTAGCCAATGGCAAAGCTGGTCTTTCGAGAGTCAACTTGGAGGTCGAGACAAAGGGAGTTTAAATAGGTGAAGGAAAGAATAAAAAGAGGCAGAAATAAGTAAAGGAAATCCACTCGCCATCTCCCACAGCCAACAACGGCCACTTGGGAACCAAACCCCTCCAGCTGTCTCTCCCCCAGGTTTTATTGCTCAGAATAATGTTTTATGGTACAGAAAATCCCTTTCGCCACTCCGGGTCAGCTGTTGCCGCTGTGTCCCATCCCGATCTCTTACCCCCACCCCAGCCTCCTGGGCAGGGGACAAGAGTGGCGGAAAAAACGAAGCCTCGACACGGTGCCAGCACCCTTCAGCCACCCCATCTGTGCGTTACCGGCACTGTGGCAGCCACAAATCCCAAACACAGCCCTGGGCTGCTATGGAGAAGGTTAACTCCAGGATCCCAGCCAGATCCAGCACAATTTTGATTTTTTTTTTTACAGGATCTATCTCCTGGAATGCTGAGTTTAAGTCTAACGAGCTCTCTCATGAAAAAGAGGCTGATCCAGAGATCTGCCCTTTTTACACCATTCTTAGCAGGGAGACACTTTTCTTTTTGAAAGCTCCCATCTTCCATATGGCTTTGCATCTACCATCATAGAACAAACCGTAAAACCCAACCGAAATCGGCCGAAAACTCCCGAAAAGCTGAAATTCAGCTTCCCATCCTCAGAGCCCTGAAACTCAGCCGCTAATTAGATTTGGAGTACAAGGGAGTTTAGAGCCCTAATCAGGCACCCGACAAAGAAAGGAAGAAAAGAGAAAAAAAAAAAAAAAGAAAAAAGTCAACCTGAGATGAATGATTAATAGAAAAGCGAGCTGATCCATATGCACAGTGATTTATAATTGCTCGGCTCCAACCATATGGTAGCCCTCCAAGCATTGATGTTAACTCCACACCTGCAAGACATTCATGAGCAGGAACACGCAGCTGAACCCAGAAGGATCAACTTGTCTCTTCACCCGTAGTCTGAGTCCACGCCACCTTCTCCGGGGGAGAAAACGCAAGGTGGGAGGAGAAGATAAACCTCTAAGACTTTTCCATTGCAGCTGGAGAACTTTTCGGAGTTGAAGAAAGCATCAGAGTAGAATCAAGGTATTTTTATTAAAGTGTGTGCTTTAGTCCCGCAGTGTAGAAATGCCAGGCAAAAATTAAATCACAAAGCTTTATGCTCTCAGGAGATAAAAAAAGATCTTTTTGCAGTGCTCTTCTCACTCTGAAGTCAAGGAAAAATGAAGGGAGGCAGAAAGCACATCATTTAAAGAAACTGTGCTTCCAGAAATACAAAGTACCAGAAATGGGCTTTCTGTGGTCTAGACTAAAACAGGCTCTTGCTGGAGCTATAAAGTAAACAAAGTTGAGTTTTTCAAGGTACCGTAAGTATGAATGACCTTAGAGAAGAAATAACATATCTCTCTGCAGAGTTTAAAAGCTACATTTTCCAAGATTGCTGGCAAAAAAAGCGGCATTTGTAGTCTTTGAAGAACAGACCACAAAGTGACTTTAATTAAGTAGCTACAACCGTGAAGAGGTTTGGGCAGAGGTGAATCTCATTCTTCAAGTAAAGTCCATCCTGTTGAGAAAAGTCAGTCTTCAAGTAAAATTATGTCCTTCCAAGACATAAGCATAGGAGAGATACTACCGCTGAGTGGTATCCAACAGCTTCAGAATTGCTTCAGGATAATACTGAAATAATCCAGGAAACAATGAATAGATAAGGGGGAAAAAAGCATCTGGATCTTTTGCTTCTCTGCTGAGCAAAAGCCTCCAAGAGGGAAAAATAATCCTTCGTGTTCATAGAGCACCTTACGCTGTGCAAACACCTCAGCAACCCTGCACAGCCCCAGGCAGTGAAGAGATTCGCAGTTTCCAAATGTGGAAGAAAAAGCGGTGGGGGCCCACCGGAGGTCCGACAGGCATTGCCCACGGAGCATAAATCACATTTTCTGAGGCTACACGGCTCTTCCTGAAGCTCGCAACGGAAGGAATAGCTGAATGCATTTTAGGAAGCTAACCTCTGGAGCTGGGCAGCAATGCAGAGGGTAGTTACCTGCCAAATGGTGTATTTTGGAGCAGGGATTTAGCAGAGAACACACTTTCCCATTTCAGCATTTGTAAAAAAAAAAAAAAAAAATTCATTTCACATAGAAAAGGCAAGACATGGGACCACCAGGCCAAAGCACCACTAGATGACTGAAAACTCCTGGAAGGCAAACACCAGTGCTGGAGAAAGAGAGAAACCCTTACTGTATTGCTATTTTTTTCCTTTGCTTGAATGTCTAAATAAATCAGCTACCATCAAATTATTAGGCCAAGAGCTTCTAAACTGTTCTCCAAGTCCCTATCAAAGATGGCCTCAGAAACCTAAGGCCTATTTAAAGCTTTTTTCCCTGCATTTCGAAGAAGTGATAGCGGAACTGCAATTAAAAACAGGATATTACACAGGGACGAAGCTGTACAATTGCCAGAGATTGCCACCACTCACACCAGAAATTCGACAAATACGAGATGAAGCGCGGTCGGTGCTACGCCGCAAGCACTGCGGTTCATCACAGAATTCTGTGATTCTGTAACAGGCAAAGGAGGAATGAGAACGATGTGAAAAAGAAGGGTAAGCATATGAAGGGCAGACACATCCGAGTACACTAATGCCCTACGATAATTCAGTTTCCTAGGGTACAGTCTCGTTCTTCAAGCAAGCTTGAGGAGGAAGGAAAGTTCTCGCATTGGCAGGTCTAAAACCCTGCGATTCCACTTTCTTGAGACAGCAGCAGTGTTTTACCTACTCCCTGCTTCGGTGAGCAGTGAGCTGTATCCACCCCCAGTTAACCGTTACACATCACTACCAAATCAGATGAGCTGCCTGCTCAGGAATGGAAAACCAGGCACGAAACAGGTGAGGATCTCTAACGATGCAAGAGGAGATCTCCACAAACTACACAAAACTAAGATGAAGTCTGAGAAACCTGGACGCCCAAAGATTTTCTTTCAAGGAAGCAGAAACAAACAACAAAACCCTAACTGAGACAGGAAAACACGTGCAGAGGTACTATGTTAAGGAACTTGACAGGGCAAAGAATGAAGCCATGTAAGTTGATGAGGGAAGTCACATACCGGTGTTTGTTGTCCTCTTCCTCATCTCCTATCCTATAAAGCAAGATTCCAACAGTAAAAGGTTAGCATGCCAAATTCTCAATCCAAGCATGCTGTAACACACAAACCCCACAAACGTGTAGAAAATTAAAACAGAGATCAAAGGAAGCACAGCAAGGCATGCACAAAATCCCTTTTGCAACTGATGCGGGTTTCTTCTTCCTGCTTTCTGACAAGCGAAGCTATAAATGTTTACTATAGATTATTTTTTTTGTCTTCTAGGATAAGAGATGAGATGCGAGGGGGCACTGAGCGTCCTACTTTCAGAAAACGCATGCTTCTAGAACATTTAGAGGGAACAGAACAAAGAGGAAGCACATTACCCAGGAAAAGTCACAAGAGGAAATGCAAAATAAAATAATTAATGAAAAAGAGAGTTCGAGCTATCCCAGACTAAGAATTAGACAGTTTAAAAATCTTCACAATCAGAACACAGTGCTCAGATGCATGTTGTTTTTTTTTCTTTACCTGCGAAGCACTCTAGCCTTCAACTCCAGTTTTGTCTCATTCCAGGCATCCAGCTCTGGGCTAGTCAGAGCCGTGGGTTTCATGTGGTCCAGGACACAAATGTCTTTTCCTTGTTTCCACAAATCGTAACGTTCTGGTTGCAGAATCCTCACAAAGACGTCCATGGAGATCTTCACCATGTCTTTGCGGCAAGTACACTGCAAGAGACACCCAAGACACCAACACCACGTCAGGTCAGAAGAACGTTTTCTGGGACAGCATTGACTCTGCTTGCCCTTGGCAGAACCTGAGACAACCTGAGTAGAAGACTCCGCTCCCAAGACTCTTCTTCTCACTCTAAGCCCACCAACCCAGCCAAAACATTCTGGTGACTGATGCCCAGTAAATTTCTCAGCTACTGTCTCACAGTCATTACACAATAATAACTTTGGCCAACGTGGCCCACCAGGTCTGAGTCTGATCTCAAACCAACGTTCCCTCCAGCCTCTTGCAGAGCTGCTCAGCCTGAAAAGAGATTATTAATATATCACTTCACCACCGAGAAAACGTTAAGGGAACAAAAGAGCAACTGACTAAAGAAGGCAGTTAAATTTCATAATTACACATCATGACACTGCACGTGAACTTCACAAGATTTCAGAGACAAGAAAAAAGGCGACAACAGTAACTCCGCTCTGCAGCTACAGCACCCATGCCTAAGTCAAAAGGAATTACACCTTCGCCGTTGTACGAGCCTACACGGAGCCTACTTACGGGCGGTTTTACCTGGATATCCATTTGCTCTGATGAAGAAGGGCATTTAGAGACCAAGTCTAGCAAAGGGATTCTCACCCAGGACACGGGACCAGACTGAACGAGCATGAACTTTTCCCTCAGCAGCAGGTAGGGGATGGAAGGACACAGCAACACGCCAGCACCCTCTCACCTCGTGGGGGCTGCAACTACTGGGTGCAGAAAGTTGACCCCCTTGTAGGTCTGCTCTAAGATGCAAAACTTTGCACTAAATTGCTTTTCAACTTCAAGTTGAGGAGGTAATTATAACCACCTTGCAGGACTTTTTTTTCTTTTTTTACCCTTCCTCTACACCTTTTCAAAACTATCCTTTCCTTTCTCTTGGCAGAAATGCATGAAATTAAACCTGCATCTCCCTTTTCTCCTTTCATTTTTCACCACCGTTATTAAAAAGATTTATGGCCTTAGTTACGAAGCCAGTGAGAGGGAGAAGAGAGTCTTTCTGTGCAGTTCTCTGCTACACCACCTCCCTCCCAACTCCTGTTTTCCATCGTGCGGACACTGCTGGCGACCTTCCGCTGCTCTGCCGGGGTGTGCCGAGCGGGAAGGAGTCTTTAAGGACACCCACTTTCAGGAAAATTCAATTCCTTTAATGAAAAATAGCGCAGGAGAGAAAAGCTGGAAATGCAATTTGGCCGAAGAACGGCAGGCACACAGATGGTGCCCATGCTTCAAATTCCTGGCCAGGCAGAAGCTTCTCACCAGCAGCTCCAGCAACAGCGCCTTGAGGGATTTGTATCAAGCACATTTGCAATCACTTTTCCTTAAGAAATCTTAAAAGCACCTGTGCTTTGCTACGAAGAAGAATACCAAAGAGCATCTCACAGCACACATCATCAATGAGCTACGGAGATTGACCTCCTTCGCCTTGACAAAGGACGAAAAATGCTTTAAAAGGGCAACAGTCCTTTTTCTGATCCCAACCTGGAACCAACGCGCCGCAGCACGCGGATGTCGGCTCCTCCAAATCAAGCGGAGCAAATCCCGAGTCAGCCGGGTCAAAAGGTCTCCAGCACGGTCTCCAAACACCGTCAGCTTAAGAGTCTCACAAAAATGTAAAGCCCACACAGATTATCGAGAAACCACAGGCTGAGCTACCTGGATGCTCTTCAGAGAAACGACACGGTGGGCTGCAATCTCTCGCGCACCACACCACCAGCTCGCGGTAGCCAAGCTCCTTTCTTTACACAAATCTAACATGATGTATGTTTATATTTCAATTTTAATTTAGTTTTATTGCTTTCACACTAGTGAGCATGAATAATTTACAAAGCCTCTTTCCTCTGGGGCTTCTTCCAGACCTTACAGTTCTATTTCCTCAGCGGTTGTCTCACCCTCGTGTTCCCGGAACGGCCGGGGTATTTTTTCCATACCCTTCCCTCAGACCCAGCAGAGAGATCCTGCTAAACAAAGCAGATGTTTCCACCACAACTGCAAAAGTGACCGTGTATGGGAGGGGTGGCAGAGGAGAACGGGGTAGATCAGAGGAAGAGGTTGTGGGTAGAAAAGGGCAAGAAATTTCCTTTGCAATTATTTACCTGCTCTATTCCCCGCCAATAACACCCATTTCCGTGTACTGCCTCCTCTTCCACACAGACAGATGTATTTCTTGCACAATATTTCATCGTGGTCATAAACACGTGCATTTCCTAAGAGATATTTCGCCTGCACCCCCCACCTCTGGCTCTCTCTGTCCCAGTTTCTGCAGAACCTCTCCTTCCACATTCCCCTTCTCCCTGCCTCGAATTCTAACAATTCCACTGTTAGTAAACCATATAGAAAAGCATATAAATAAAAAAAGGTTAAAATTGCCATGTCTTCACTTAAGCACCCCCACTAAGGCGAGTCACAAAACCTCGTTTTCTGTCAGTGACCCCGAACCACGAAGGCTCAGATTCAGGTGTTCGCACAACTCCCTCCAACCACCAGAGCCCCAAAAGATTTAAGAGCCCTGTGACCACCTAAAGCCCAGACCGCGACTAAACAGCTGGTGAGAAATTTAAGGAACTCTGAGAACTAATGAAATATCTGCCCATCTCTCCTCTGTCGTTCCCCACTTGGCAGCCAGACCCCCCTCCCTTGGAACTGCTGGGGAACAGCGAGGCCGGCAGAGCGACAGATCAAACAACAGAATATTCATAACCCGGATCTCCAAGGACCCGCTGCAAGTCCTGAAAATACGGTGGAAAACACCAAAACAAAAATCAAAGCAGTCTGAGGGTTAGCTCTTTGCCATCGGTTGCAGGAGAGCCGGGACCCAAAGCAGCAACAAGACCAGAGGAGCTTCCAAACTGACCACATCTGCAGGAATTCGTCCCATCTCCTGACAGCTTTTTCCTCACCTCTCCTTTTCCACAAGCTAAGACTTTGTTAACCAAAGGCAACTCACAACCTAAGCACTAACGCCATAAGGAAACACCCAGTGAAGCCCTTCTCGAAAAAGCTCTTCCTCTACTCATTATTTTATTATCTGCTGCTCAAAGCTGGAGGCTGTGGTAAAATAGTCGACCGCACCAGGAACCTCAGCTCACTAGTTATAACTCAAAGACTGATAGTGGGAAATTTGTGGCTACTGAACGTGTAACCGTGATCTTATTTGCAGTATTCTTTTAAATAAAGCTGCTAATAAGTCCCTATAAAATAACAGTCAAATAAAAAGATTGTCTCCTTGAAGTAATAAAATGAAATGCCGTCTCGTTCAACCTCAACCTTTAGCATCATTTTTGTGAGGATACTTCCCTCACTTCCCAGCTATTAACGCTAAACTGAACCCCATCTGTTCCATAACATATAAAAAGTCCATGTGAAATAACCCTTCTCCTTATGTAGAAATAGTCGCCAAGACGATAGATTTAAATTGGCACCTCTGGCTTTCATGGAAAACCCCCTCACATCTGGATGAAACCGGGGCCCGCTGCACAACTGTTTCCCAGCTGGCTTCCCCCTTTGCCTTAATGGAAATTTAAATATAAAAAAACCCAACCCGCAACATGTTCAAAGTTGAAGTTCTCTCAGCTATTATGCCACCATTAAACGCCAGACCTAAATCTTTGCTTAAAGCTTTTGTATCTGCTTTTTCATTAACAATGAAGCCTAAAAGCAAAGAAAGATGGTTACGGGCGAAAGGCAGCTATGAAATTGGTGCTGGGTGTTACGGGAGCACATCTTGCTAACGCAGCAACACTCCTAAGCCTCTCTCCATGAATTTCTAGGACAAGGTATAGAGTTTCAGCTCTTGGGAGAAACCCAAAGTCCTCCCAGTATAATACTCTTAAACTAAGCTAAGCCATTTGTTACCATATTATGGACGTGTTACGAGAGATCTAGTTAATGCTCACCCAACACAACAGAACAAACCAGTTTGGGCTCCAGTTTCATCTTCCTCCCGCTCAGACCCTGCACAGCAACGCTGTCTCTTCCCCAACAGCCAAGGGCTTGGGCACGCAAATTGCAAGTAGGTGCCTGAAAGAGAAGCGTTCTGCAAGTAAACGAGGAGTTAAACTTGGAGAAAAAGGAGAAAAAACCCTAAAATGCACAGTTTGTGTGTTTAATGGTTGGTAGTTGAAAGCTTGTGGGAAAGAAGATGAGTCTTGACCCCCTGTTTCTCGCGTAATTACCAGCATTGCCCTAAGTCTCAACAACAAACCAGTTCATTAGGAAACCCACTGGAAATCCTCTACACAGTTTCATAAACAAAACAATTAGGCAAAGATTTCCAAGGACTCCCCCAGTCGCTGGCTGCAGGGCACGCTTTCTCCTCGCGCGCTCCCTTGACTCGCTTCCGCGATGTTCCACACGGATTTCTGCGGGTAGAAACACTGGGTAGGTGGTAGGCGGTGTTAGCCAGGCAGTCAGACTTACCCTGCTCTACTCCTTTTGTACTAAGAGGATTCTGGTTTAAGATACAATAGAAAATGCAATGTGACATGCTTCATTTTAGGCAAATAAAAGAACCCATCCCAACTGGCGTCAGGCTCCTGTTGACGTGTTGCGTGCAGATTTTTGTATTTTTTTTGGCAAAGCTATTGTGCAACCTCTGCTGGAATCCTTTTCCAGCTTTACTATTCTGTAGAGTACACCTGTCAGATGGCAAATACTCCTGAATCTACGTTGATCCTCATTCCTGCAAAACAAAGACAACCACAGCGGAGGGGACAGGGTCACCTCAGCAGGGTCCTGACTTCGAGGTCTCAGATAAGGCTGAGAGAGCACAGAAGGGAATTCAGTGCTCTCAGCAGCATGAGAAGGGGATCCAGCGCAGCACCAGTTCTCTTCTGCTCTGACAGACTCATTCCAGAACCAGGGATAAACCAAATGTTATGATGCAGTCTGGGGTGAATATCATTCTGAGGTTACCTCGAGGCATTCTCTCTTCTGCATCGCAGGACTTGCAGCTGGTACCGAA